CCCCCCCCGCGGAACTGCCGCACCGCGCTCCCCCCGCCACCCCTTACCAGGTGCCGCCCCAAGCATGTGCTTGGTTGCCTGGTGCCTCGAGCCGGCCCTGGCTGCCAGGGGATTGTTCATAGGTTCCGTCTCAGGGTAGGGATCAAAGTGTATGGGAGGTTCCTGGGGCAACTCAGCAAAATGACACAGGTTCCAATGGGCTGGTTCTTATACGTGAGCACAAATATCACACTTCTCGACTCTCTGTTGTAGTTGTTTGCTTAGCCCAGGCCACCAAACAGATTGTTTAGCTCTGTGCAACTTTTCTGCTGGCCTCACTGGGCTGGAGGATTGCTTCTCTGTTTTCCTTTCTCCCTCTTTCTCTCTTGCCGGGGTCTGCTGTGATCTTTTGGGTCTTTATTCAATCCTATTCTGACACCTTGTACAGTTCACAGAGACCAAGGGCACCAGGGTGGAAGTGAACACAACTGACTTCATTTCCTGCCTGCACAGGCTTACGGCTCTTTGCCATGTGTCCCCTTGTGGCTCTAACTTTTCACAGCTAACACCACTGAAACAGAAAACCTTATCGCTGTAACCTTTCAGAGCGGGTAAGTTGTTACTGGGGAAGATTGGGGCAGTCTAGGGGCCTGGAATAAAATAGTGCCACCCCCAGAGAGGCTGCATTAGCCTCAGCCTGGCATGTGCTGACATTTTCATGTGATTTAAAATGAAAATATTTGAATGCAATCATCTCCTCTCAAGGAAAAGGAAACATTTCCTTTGCTTTCTTCAGGCCTATTTTCCCACCATCAAACCTACTGGAATCTAAACCTATTTTGGGTTGGGGAACAGGTGTCCCAAAGAAATGGGCTCCCTTTTTCCTTGCTGTGTTGAGGAAAAATAGAAAATGCAGCTTTGCTTCCTTTATTATTCTCCATGCTTAATTCCAGTACATGCCGCCTGTGCATTCTATAAAGCAATTAGCCCTGCTGTTGAAAAGGCATCACAACTCAGCAAATGCATGACTTGCTAAGGCAAACAAGGTATTAGGCGGAACAAATTCAGAAAAAAAAATGACTCTCTTGTCTCTTTCTGATGAGCTATCTGTGGTGAGCGTTTTGGTTTCCCTTGGTTGCACAGAAGAGCATGTGATTTATAGAAACTGGAAAGCCTTGCAGAGAAAAAAATCTGTGAGATTATTTTATATCTGACACTATCATTATTATTATTATTTATTCTGTATCCAGGCAGGACACTTATAAACTACCCAACAACGTGCTAAGGAGACTGACAGAAGATCTGATTTCAGACCCTTACTGCAGCCGATTCCCTGATGCTTTGCACATATTTCATGCTCCAAAATCTTCAGGTGTAAGGGAAGCAAAAGGAAATTTTTGACTGGATTAAGGTCTCTGTCACCTGTGGTTGACAGGTGACCCTGTCATTGGTGTTCCCTTCTTTCTGTGTTTAGATTTTTTTTCTCCAAATAGTGGCCTAAATTCCCTGTGAGGTTGATTGCAGTGACAACTGAAATGACTGATGTGGTCTGAGCTGATAAGTGAGAGAGTAGAGAGACCTTCTTCCCTGCTAGTTTATGTTGCTGAAGTGCTGTAACCCCAGACTCGTGCAAAGTCAAGTGGGATCATGTAGGCCCTCGGCGGCATTTCCCAGTGCTACAGTACGTACAAGCCCTTAAACAGGGACTTTGCACCCAAGCCAACCTGAAGAAGCAGATTGTTTATACAATGAGAGGTAACAGAAGTGTTTAGCCTATTCCCTCTGCAATCATTCTCCTTCACAGCTTTGTCTCTCCTTCAGCTTCTTCCAGCAATTAAACCAGAACCCTGTGTCAGTACAAGTTCCAATCCAGTTTAGATGGACTGAGAGAGGCCTATGGGAAACAAACTGATGGCATTGTACTCAGCTATGTTACTATAGATATATGGGCATATGCTAAATAAGGTGTAGGTATGGATTAAGCCAGTTTGGAGCCAGCCAAGACAAGGGCAGAACTGGCTGTGTGGGAAGCTGGTGAGTCCTAGGCCTGCATGCAGGGTTCCCCCTAAGAACAGGCCTCTAAGGAACCTGACTGCAGATCCCTCAGCTGGGTTTTTCCTTCCCCACTGATGATTCCCAATTTGTAGCATTTGCTGGGAAATTTCCCCAGCCAGACTAAGTTTGCCCTCCAGCTCCCTAGGTGAGACCAGTCACCACATGGTCAGCTCTGCTCTGTCTGCTAGTCCATGGAAGCTGCCTGCTGAGTGTGTGAGTGGAGGCTAGGCTAGGAAGCTACCATTTGGCTGTTAGTGTAGTTGTATAACCTACAGCTTGAGCCCTGCACCCTTTTGTGGTGAGAGGAAATCCTGGGACTGAAGCAGCCTGATTCCTGCTTGAAGAGGATCCCTGTCAGCAGACAGCAGCGCCTCTCCAGTGACTGAGGAGTCCAGCATCATCTTTGAACCTGAGGATCATTCATGGAGTTTGTGAGTACACCATCTTTTAGTTAGGCAGAGAATTTGTTTTGGGGACCCCCTACTCCCTGAACTGTGTCCTCAAGCCAGGGAGTGAGGGTTTGAGGATTTTACAACCTGCTGCATATTACACCTGTGGAGGGATTTACCACCTCCTCCCACTTGTATTGTCCTCAGGGATTCCCCTGTTAAGTAAATGGTTAGTTGCAGCCTTTCCTACATTATTGGGCCAGGCGCTAGAGCAGGCCTTTAGGATGATGCTTTATATTGCTGGAAAGGCAGCCTTCCCTAAAACTGAATTAAGGACTCAGACATCGCTGATGTCAAGGACAAAGGTTATCTGAGCACTTGCTCACTGTAGCCAGATGTCTGCTTCCACAAGTGACAGACACTCTCAGCAGATTGTCACAGAGCTGCATAAAGTGAAAGCCATGTACAGAAAAATCAACTGGAGAATTTTAGCTGAGAATAAGAGTGCAGTTGTTTGTCTAGAACTTTGAGACTGTAGCTGCCAACTTGCTAATAAACCTATACTGACATCCTGTTCCTACCTCCTCTCTGAACTGGAGGCAGGGATACGCAGAATGCTGCTACAGCGCTTGAATCATGCCATCTCCCTGTCAGCAAGGAAGCAGCAAGCTCCACAAGGGGAGGCCTGCAGTGTCTCTCCCTGGCTCACAGACAGATCAATTCTGACACACTTTCCTTCCTGCCAGGAGAACTCACCATGGCTCCAGACCCAACACAAAAACCTGTTCTGACAGCACACCTGGGGGTTGGTACGTTCGGTGTTTACCTCATGCAAGAGCAACATAGTAGGAACACTCACTCCAGGCCTCTTATGAAGAGCCTCACAAAGGCTCTTAATTAAGGGAACTGGTCACTTAAAAACTGAGCTGGTAACTTTGCCTGAAGGCAGTTTGGCCAAAACTGCTGTGGCTGGGACCAGACCCTGGATTCAACGGTGTTAGAAAGACAGAGTTCTAGGTTATCAGTTTGAACAGAGGTTAGTCGCATCTGGGCCCCAGAGCAGAAGGAAGAAAAAAACAAAAGCCACCACACATCCCTGCTCCCTTAAACAGATCTAGGTCATGGTGGGTTTGAGAGGGGGAGGGAGGAAAAACAAACAAACAAAAAACACACACACACCACCACACACACACAGGAGTTGGGGGGGGGGGGGGAGAAGAGAAAAGAGGGGTACTGAGTTGCCTATAAGTTGGACACCAAGGATTCTTCTTGCTTTTGAAAGCTAGGTGCAGCAGCTGAAGCTTAGAGGCTGGACACTGAGTTTTACTTTTCCCTGTGGGCACTATTCTGCTGTATTGGAATCCCCAAGAAATTAAGGAGCCCCAGCTGCAAGAGTCAGACAAAGGAAATCTAGGAGTCTGACTCATCTCTGCTATGGAACAGTGGTGGTGTTCTGTGTGTGACCTGCCGAAGAGGAGTTCTGTAGAGAAAAGACTAAATTAAAATAGCTAAACAGCATTTTTATTCTGTGTTCTCATCTCCATTAAGAAGCTTCTGATGCTGGGAGAACACACACCCCCACCGGTTTTCTGCCTCTTTCAGTTTCTAAAGATCTGCTAGCATTAGAGCCAGGAGTTGTACAGGTCAGCTAGCAAGAGATTGCCACTAAAACTAGTACTACATGGGATGCAGAAGACCACTCTATCCATCCTTGGGAAAGCTTCAGCTTCATGGTTCTTTGCATAGAAAGAGTGGGTTACAAGTCAAAACTAATCGTACAGGATTCAGACAGAATGAGCACATAAGTCTCCACCGATTACCTCAAAATGGCTTTTCTGTAAAAAACGACTAGTATTTCAGGACCTGACGAAGGTAGAAGGAAACTCTGTAGGTCCTAACAGAAGCACCTTGTACAGTTCTTAAAGAAACCTCCAGCACTCTTGAGTGTAGACTTTTAAAACTGCCATTGGGACAGAACTAACTATTGCCTGAATCATAGTTTGGTTATTGTGTAGTATGCAGGGGAGAGAGAGAGAGAGAGAGAGCGCATGCGCGCATGTGTGCCCTCCCCCCCCCCCAACTAAAAACCAAACATGCTGGTGGTTTTCCCCTTCCCCTATCTGAAGCTGCTGGGGCCAAGAATGTAAGAGTAGTCAGGCAAGATGATTTAGTGGGGAGAGCCCAGCTCAGAAGGCACAAGATGTAGTTTAAATTAAAAGCTAAATCACCAGACAGCAAATTTATATATTAAAAAATAAATAGAATAAATGAGACAATAGTCAAAGACTGACAGCATTTAAACACGTTTTATTTTTAGTTTTTGTTAGAGATTCTGCACCATACATGGTCTCTAGGAGAAAGCTATTCAGTGTAAAGCCTACTTACTTTTAACAGGCTTGAAGGTCTATTGCTATAAGACTGTTCTTGGGTCTAAGGTATTCCTGGGAAAAGAGCCATTGGCTAATAAATTTAATTTCTTTATTAACTTTTCTCAAGGCATTCACCTGCAAACAGTCAACTGGGTTCAAGGTGTGATATTAGTGCTGGCCAGAGAAGTTAGTCCCCACTCCTCCCACAAAAGCTCTACCCTTTACACATTAGGCACTTTCCAAAAAGACTGTGCTAGGTACAGCTATAATATGGTCCCTAGTCTGCCTTCTTCTGAGCCACCTCCTCTTTCTCAGGCTCCTCCTGTGGTGTTACATAGGCTCTGCCAGATGGGGTGAAGGGTCCCACCAACCAGGAGAAAGGAGTGTTGTGCTCTATATACTCAAGCAGCTCATCTATGTACTCCTGGGATTTGGTTATCTTCTCCTGGCTCTGGGTAGCACTTGGTAGGTCGTGGAAGGACTTGGCAGCAAAGAAGGAATTGTGGAGCTCTTCTAAGTTCTTGAGAACCTGCTGCACCTTTTCCTGTAGGCTGGAAGGGAGGCCCTGGATGCTGGCCTTCAGGGTCTGACAGTCGTCTTGCAGCTGCTGTGTGATGCTCTGAGACATGGCCAGCGTATGAGACTCCACCTGCTGTAAAGAAGCAAGTTAACAGGTTTAGAAGACACATGAAGTGAACTAGGTCTATGTTTTCTCTATAGGGATGTCTCAGTCCAGAACTGCTCTCCAATAGCCCAATACCTTTGGCTCTGTAGAGGCTGCATCATTACTTCCTTCTGAGTGCTTGCTGCTCCAGTCAAGCCACATCTGGTGCAGCGTCTGCTGGCCATCCTGAAGCTTCTGATCAACATTCTGCCTGATAGAGTTAATCTAGAAGGGGACAGAATCAGCAAGGAGCAAAGGATGAATCTCTGAGAACAACTTGCATATATGACTCACTGAGCCACTTATAAAGGTGGCAACACCAGTATGAAGAGGCTGCTAGACAGGAGCACTGCTGGGACAATACAGCTATTCTCCTGGATTGAGCCTCGTGAGGCCAGAGAGACCAATAAGACCATTTCCCACAAAAATAGTGTTAGGACAGGATACTTAACAAAGAGATGAGGGAACAGTGTTCCTACCAGGTCAAGGACTTCATGAAACTGTAGGAAGGTCTGCTGCATGCCCTGCTTGGCCTGTCTCACTTTGCCCAAGGAATGCTGGTAGGCACGTTGGCGGAGCTGAGCTGACAAGGAGCCCAGCCGCACAAAGTAGCCGTGATGCTGGACAGCAGACTCTTCAGCTCCCTCCACAGATTCAGCTAAGCTTGCTGTAAGGAATGAGATCAAGGTCAGTCACCCTATTGGATGAAGGGCATGGGGCCAACATGAGCCACCTACTCTATTCAAGTCCTTACTGAGCTAGAGAGCCACAAATTAACCAGGGGTTTAGATTTAGAACTATCACCCCCCCCCCCCAATAAGATATTTTATTCCCTTCAGCAGCTAGCTGGAGGCATCTGCCCCATGAGATTGTTTGGGACTGGCATGAGACCTTTCATACAGAGTTACTGCTGCCTAGGTCATCTTTCATGAGTGTTTAAGTTGCAAGTGTACCTATGGTACCATATATTGGAGATCTTGTCCACCACATCCCACCCAGAGGTAAGAAGAGTCATAGCTAAATCCTGTGCTATAGGGCAGGTGGAGTCACACTATTTCAGCCAGGTGTTCCCAACTGACATGGATGGATCTCCCTTCATGCAGGGGTCCCACTGAAGTCAACAGGCCAGGTACCTGGCACGAGGTGGATCTATGCGGATAGAAATGCAGGGCTTTTCAGCACAGATAGGCATTTCCCTGGTAATGGGGAGTTCAGTATTGGTTTAAATCTAGACAATGGCCATCATCTTCAGGTTTAGTCCCCATGGAGACCCAGATGGGAGTTACCAGGGAAGATGACTGCATTCCAACTCTTCTGTTTGGTCATATCAATGGCACAGAATCAACCAGCCTTCCATTCTCAATACAGAGGAATGCAAAAAGATTAAGAGCAACCCAGGAAGAACAGGCCTGTCAATCCAAGCGCGACTCCTTCTCCAGCCCTTTACTCAATGAAGTTGTGTTCAACCCCCCCCCCCACCCCACCCTCAGTGCAGGCTCTCTGGTCTGCACAGTCGGTCATACTCTTTGGGGCCTACCTGCTGCTGGTCTCTCTCAGCGGACTCTGGCTCATGGGGCTGTGATTGTGGTGTAGACATTCAGGCTTGGGCTGGATTCTGGGACCCTCCTCACTTGCAGTCTGGCCCGAGCCAAAACATCTACACAGCAATTTTTAGCCCCACAGTCTGAGTCAGCTTACCCAGGGCAACCACAGCCATGCTGTGGGTCTTAGTCCAATGCAGACATACCCAAGGACTTTTTTCAAGTGTACATTTGCATTCTGCAGTGTGTTATTTGTGCTGCAATAAGAATCCAGATTTAGGCATCCAGAACAGAGGTCTGAATTACCCTCCCATTAGTCACCTCATTGGTCTGTTTTTAACTCAAGATGCTTAAAAAAAAAAAAAGTCTTCCCCTCACAGGAATCTGGTGTGCAAGTTTCCCTAGGTAGTTCTCCTAGTTGTGTCCAGTCACTTAGCTATTTGTACATGCAGCTAGAGGAAATAGCAATGACATCTTGAATATTCTGTAGCTTTCAGCTTCACTCAGTGGGAACAAAACAATGGTAGCTTTACTACTGTTGTGACAACTAGTGTTAACTATAGTGAAGAATCAGTCCCTTACTTTTAGGCACCAAGACCTTTTGAGTCAAGAAAGCCATATATCCTTGAAGTTACTTTTTGCTTCACTCCAGGGCTTCTACCTAGAACAGTCTCCATCCCTCCAGCATTGCTTCCTACTACAGATTTAGAGCCAGTGCACCCCTTCAAAGCTATTTAACCTTCCTTCTGAAGTGACTTGGGAGTGCTCAGAGCCCCCAAGAATATGGCCCTTTGGCCTAGTTCCACCTGCTATCTCCAAAAAC